TAATAGCAGCTCTTTTTGTGGTGGCCAAGAATTGGAAATTAAGGGGATGCCTATCAATTGGGGAATGGCTGAACAAGTTGTGGTATATGAATGTCATGGAATACTATTGTTCCATAAGAAATGAGGAGCAGGCAGACCAGTAAAACCTGGAAAGACCTATATGAACGGATGCTGAGTGAAATGAGCAGAACCAGGAGAATGTTGTATACAGTAACAGCCATGTCGTATGATGACTGACTTTGACAGACTTAGCTCATCTCAGCAATGCAAAAATATAAGATAACTCCAAAAGACTCATGATGGAAAATGCTATCCACATCCAGAGAAAGAGCTTTGGAGTTGGAATGCAGATTGGAGCATACTATTTGCGCTTTTTTTTTCTTGTGCTTTATTTTGTTTCTTCTTTCTTGTGGTTTGTCTTATGGGTTCTAATTCTTCTCTATAACATGACTAATGTGAAAATATGTTTAATGGTAATGTACATGTAGAGCTTATATCAGATTTCATGCCGTCTTGGGGAGGGAGGTGGAGAGGAAGGAGGAGAAAATTTAAAACTCAAAAGCTATTGGAAGTGATTGTTGAAAACTAAAAATTAAAAAAAATTAATTAAAAAAAAAGAATCTAGGACAACTCCAAAAGATTCATGATGGAAAATGCTATCCACATCTAGAGAAAGAACTGTGGAGTCTGAATGCACATCGAAGCATACAATTTGCTCTCCTTTTTGTTCGTTTATTTGTTTGTTTTGTTTCTTCTTTCTTGTGGTTCCTCCCATTGGTTCTAATTGTTCTTTACAACATGACTAATGTGAAAATATGTTTAATATGAATGTATATGTAGAGCCTATATCAGATTGCATGCCATCTTGGGGAGAGGTAAGGGAAGGAGAAGGAGAAAATTTTAAACTCAAAATCTATGAATTTTGAAAACTAAAAATAAATAAATTAATTAAAAAAAAAAAAACCATTGCCAGAGGCTGGTGGAGGTACTGCAGAGAGGATCCATTGCCATTACTTATTGCCAATAGGTGAGTTTGTTGGATTCCCTAATAAGCCTATTGAGACTGATGGATGTTCATCTTCACAGACTAAGGCAAATACTGACTGCCAGTCTTACAAAGTCTGCTTGACCTAGACAGTTTGTGTCTCACAGACATTTCACATGAAAGAACTAATAATATTGATAGATGTTTAGGAAGACAGAACTATGGTTCTGATGAACAGCATGATCAGCCAATACCAACAACTAGCACTGGTATGGGGCAGATAATTCCACAGAAAAACAAGAACTAGTTGACCAGTGACCAACCTGATTTAATAATATTCCGTGTGAAACTAGGGAAACACTTATACATCTAGCCAGATGATAAGGCTTATTCACATGTGTTCACTGATAGACATATTGTCACATGCTCCTGTCTTATTTTCTTTCCTGTACTTTTATGTTTATTTGCTTTGTATTTTAATCATGCATTACATGTTTGTTATTTATATGTTAATTATTATTGTTAATTATATGTTGTTATTATCTAGATGTATATAATCTAGCTATTTTGCATAGCCTACAGGTGTTACTATCTGATGGTTGTAATAGTCATTTTGGCTAGGCTTGGACTGACTGCCTTTCACGGGGCTCCGACATTGCCAAAAGAACCTGACAGTAGCGATTCTTCCTATCTTGGAAAAACAAAAAACTCTCCTGGGACCAGAACTGGAGGATGGCATTTTTTTTCCCCACTAGAGCAGGAGTTTAAATGTTAATTACCAAATTTGTGCCACATAGACTTTTCCCAAGACTCATTAGTAGAAGGCACTGGGCAAGGCATTCAAATAAGATAATGCAGAACATTTCTTAGTTACCAGAGTCATCCAGGATTTGAGACTATGGACTTTGGCAAACATACCCCAATAGATTTACTTAGGAAAGAAGACATAAAAGCTGGGTTGGGGAGGAGAGTGTAAGATGGGCCTCTATTGATTATTCAACTCACTTAAAAGTGATTACTTTTGTTAATTACTTTTTACATTTGTTAATTACACTTACTAATTCACTGAAAAATCAATCAGTCAATAAGCATTTATTAAGCACCTGCTGTGTGCCAGGCACTGTGCTAAACACAAGGCAAAAGACATCCCTGCCCTCAAAGATCTTACAATCTCATGGGGAAAACAACGAGCAAACAAATATACAGGACTAAGTATAAACCAGGCCTATGCACTTTCCTTGAGTCTATCAAAATTGCTGTGTGAGAGACTTGGTCATGCCATAAGAAATTTATATAAACAGAAGGTACTATCCCAGAACTGGACAGAAAGTCTGAGGATCTGGTTTCCAGAAGCTGGAGCATTAGTATTCCAATATACCCCCGAGGAGCAAAAAGGTAGGACTGAGCTATTACAGAAACGGGAGCCATGAAGGAACATCATTAGCTCTACAGGTTGGTTGTTGTCCTTCCTTCTCAAAGAGGCCCGAAATGATATCACTCTGTTAGAGTCAAGTTACAACATGTCCAACTCTGGCAGATCAGACCAATATGAGCTCAGAAGGCTCTACCACAGATCCGGCACAATAATCCATGTGAACATTTGGGGTGGATTCTCTAAATCTACACATCTCGAGTTTCTTTTGAGCTACTCCAATTCTGCTTTGGTCATAGAGCCGAGTGTCTTCTTTGATGAGGGCATGCCATGCTGTGCCAGTGTCTCCCAGGTCACACAATCCAGTTCCAAGGTTCTTAAAAAAAACCTTGAGCGTGTCCTGGAGTTGCTTCTTCTGACCACCATATGAGTGCTTGCCCTGTGTGAGTTCTCCATAACAATAGTCTTTTAGGCATAGGTTTGGCATTCAAACAACATGGCCAGCCCGTTGTAGTTGTGCTCTCTGCAGTAGAGTTTGAATGCTTGGCAGTTTAGTTCAAGAAAGGACCTCAGTGTCCTTATCTTGCCAGATGATCTTCAGAATCTTCCTAAGACAATTCAAATGGAAGCGATTCAATTTCCTGGCATGGCCATGGTATACTGTCCGGGTTTCACAGGCATACAACAATGAGGTATCACAAAGAAGAAGACCTGGGCTAAGGGAGGTTCTGAGAAAAGGTCATTTTTTTACCCTCAACTCCCCTCCTGTGCCTGTCTACCCACTGACACTACAATATAATCGGCCCTTTCGTTACCCAAACTTTTACAGTAAGCCGATTTTTGCCTCAAGCACAAATAATCCAAAGGTTAACTAGAGATTGGTATAAATGTAAAGTTAGGCAGAGAGCCCAACCTCTGCCTAAATGTTAGGAATTTTCCTAACTAGGGGCCCAGAGCAACTGTAACTAAACTCATAACTTTTGATCCAAAAACAATTCTTAAAGCTAAAGAGCAGGGGATCAGAAGGACCTTAGAGGCAGTTATATTGCCCTCTATGCAAAAAATGAACTAATTATTGTAAAGGGGTGTCACAAATTAGGTGCCTTTGTGCTTTATATAGGAAAATATCTTCATTGAAGTCTTATCCTTCAACTTTGAGATAAGCTTATTCCTGGTCACACATTCTACATTTTTTCACAGTCCACAGGATAGGGATAGAGGTTGGACCTGTGAGTTCCCTGGAATAGAGAACTGCTACATGAGGAAACTCCCTTTTCCTATGCAGGTCAGTTCCTCCTCTGCAGCCTTAGGGACTTGTCTAGAGCATGAGTGTCAAACACATGCCTGAGAATGCAGCCCAAACCAGCTTCAAAAGTAATGGAAAAATATTTAATTGTAACAAGCACCATCCCCCACAGGTAGCATGGAGTATCATTTTGTGGCTCAAAGGGATACAATGGAGATCTCTAGCTTCTTCTTCCCCTACCCTTCTCCAAGGGAGACTTTAATTCTTGCCAGAAGTCGAAGCAAAGGATTTGGGGCAGAAATTTGGCCATTCTGCTCTTCTCAGAGAGAGGGGAGGTACCAAGCTAGAATTATGTCTATTTTCTCCCTTAAATAGGATTAGTCTAGAGAATGTGGTTTTCAGGTTCAAAATAAACTTCTGGTCACTGTTTCTTAATGGGAAAAAGAGAACCCATGCTTTATAGCCAAGGCTTAACTCCCTTCCCACCAAATATCAGCTCCATAATGAACACACATAGGAAGTAGCAAAGAAACACATTTGTTCAAGACAAATAGCAAAAAAAAAAGGAAATCAGATAAAGTATACATAGGAGAATATAAACTAGTCACCATAGAGTATGCTACCTGCCTCCACTAATGCCAGGACTAATCAAACTCAGCCAGGACAGATTAGCATTGTTGACACCTTTCCCTATCCTCCCTGCCCCAAAGCTTCCACTGAACAACTGGCCCTTTAATAGATAGGATTATCAGAAAATTGGTGAAAATCTCCACGAAAGTGTCGGCTTGGTGGAAAGAACTGGGTCTATCAATCAACATTTATTAAGTGCCTACAAGTGCTGGGGATACAAAGAGGCAAAAGACAGTGCCTGCCCTCCAGGAGCTTACAATCTAATGGGGGAGACTACATGCTCACCACTATACACAAACGAAGCTGTAAGCAGGATCAATGGGAAATCATTAACATAGGGAGGCCCTGCGGCAGGCACAGTTTTCCACCTGCAGGGCCCGGGCCCTGCCTAGTGATGGGCATGGTTGGGGGGATCCAGAGCCTAATCGTGCCACCAGGAAGGAACCCCAGCTCTGCCATTTTCTGCTTGATCCGGAGTAAAATCTCCTAGCGTCTGTGGCTTCAGTTTCTTCCTCCGTACAAAGACCAGGCCGGAACACGCGATCTCTGAACCCCAATGGCCACCACCCATCCCGTAGGCAGCGCCGGCGAGGCGGCGTCCCCTTTAAGTCAGGCCCCGCCCATCCAACGCCTTCCCCCTCCCTTCCTCCCCAAGGCTCCGCAATACCCTCCCCCAGAAGACTCCGCCTTCCAACACGTGGGGGCGGCCGTCTCCGCCACCGAGTGTCTCGGCGGAGTCGGAGGCGAGGCTACGCTGCCGGGGTTTGAGCCGGGCAGGCTGCCATCGTCGGGACCGGAAAAGCATGAGGGGCGTACATCCGGCGTCCGTCCCTCTTTGCGTTCCCCCTCTTACCACTCCTTCCCTCCGACCCCCCGCTCCAGCCTGCCTTTCCCTCATCCCCTCAGCTCGGGCTTCCCTCGCAGTCCCTGCCGCTGCAGGCCCCGAGGCGTGAGTCTGAGTGGTAGGAAGGGGCTGAGGGGCGGTTATCGGGCGAGCGTGGGACGCGGGGGACCGGGGGAGGAATGAGGAGAGGAGCAGTTGGAGCCTGAAGAGGTAACTCCAGCTGGGACCGGGCCCCGGGGGCTGCACTCGCGCAGGGCGCGCCCAGCCCCTGGGCCGGGGGCGGCGGGAGAGAGCGCGTGGCGAGGGGCCTGCGGTGGCCGGGCCCCATGCCGGCTGGGCTGGGGAGGGAGTTGACAGGGCCCTGGGGGCCGGGGGGGGGGGGCGGACAGCTGATGGGACCTCGTGATTGTTTTTTCCTAAACTATTTGTATTGTAAACCTTGTCTGGACGTACATCACCTTGAGTTCTTGATGGTCCCCACCTTTAGTGCCCAGTAGGGCCAGGCTAGTTCCCGCCACCTCTCAGCATGTTTCTTTTCTGTTTCAGTTGTTGCTTTTCTCAGGGAGTGCAAACTCATTTTACTCCAGGCGATACTGGTTGCTGTGGTTAGGGAGAGGGATAATGATGTATGATATAATCAAAAGCCAAGCCCTAATAAGTACTTTTTGATTAAGGGACTAATTATCAATGAAAGATGTTCAAAACAGTTACACCTGTCCCTCCAAACGTGAAAGTTTTTCCTAAAAATTATCGTAGACAACATGAGGTATATACTATTATGAAAGCTTATGGTTCGGTGTCACTGTGTATAGAAGCTTCAAATAACGTAAAAGTGGTGATGCTTTTGCATGTATGTTACCGTAAATAAATAAAAGACACAAGTAGCAACCTGAAGATCAAATCCCAGCTTCCACCTGTGAAGACAGCTGTCCTGATTATAGCATGTTTGCTTTTCTTATTGACCTCATTGGTCACTTAAGAACTAAAACGTCATAGAAAAATCATCCTTTTTGTTAAAAGGAATGCATCCTTTCATTAATTGCATGTGGTGCTGTTTTAGTTGTTCTCCCCCCAAAACAACAACAACAACAGCAATTGATTGACTCATGGGTTTCCTTCTAGAAACTTAGAATCTGACCTGAATTTTTTTTTCTGGACCTGATTTCCTTTATACTGAGCTTCAACTCCTCTTAACTTAGAGTTTCATAAGGTTGCCTGGGCCACGGAGAAGTTGAATGACTTGTCTCTGACCACACAGCTAGACTTGAATCCAAAGTTTTTTGACTCCGAAGACTCCTTATCTTGAAGGCATGAATACTGACATGGATATACATGCACAGAACATAGACTAAAACCACTAAAATAAGATGTGTGTATAGTCACTTAACTTCTGTTTGCCTCTGTTTCCTCAGCTATAAAATGGGGATGATAATAACCCACTTCACAGGGTTTTTTTGAGGACCAAATGAGATAATATTTGTAAAAATGCTGGCATAATGCCTAGCACTATAGAAATACCCCCTTCCCATCCACTTCCCTAGTAAAATAGGTATTTGTCTAGGTAGGTATAGCACTGTGTCTCTAATGTTCTTCCATCCCCCTCAATTCCATCCTGATTTATCAGTCAGTTACTACTTGTAGGAGATAGCACAGGATTCAAAGTTAAGTATATTTGGATTATCCGAGGGCAGCAGGGGCATAGATTTCCCAGTTAACTGTGGTCATGGCTTATTTTACTGTTTTCTTTTTTTTGTCTTGCACAGAGAACCTCAGGCATGACCTCCCTTCCTGGGTGTTTTGGTTTGGGTGCTGCTGCAGCAGCTGGGATGGACCCTCAAGAGATTGCTGAGCTGCAGCAGGCTGTGGTGGAGGAGCTGGGCATCTCCATGGAAGAACTTCGACAGTTTATTGACGAGGAACTGGAAAAGATGGACTGTGTGAAGCAGCGCAAGAGACAGCTGGCTGAGCTGGAAACCTGGGTGGTGCAGAAAGAGTCTGAGGTCGCCCACGTTGATGAACTCTTTGATGAAGCATCCAGGTCAGGACCAAGTGGGCTGGGGAGAATAGATATCAGCATTATTGAAAAGCATCTGCTAAAGTGGCCAGTCATTTAAATAGCGCCTGACCACTTGACTAAGAGTTTGTGATCTAAAACTAGACTCACTGAAACAAAGAAATATGTATAGGATATTCAGGCATCAATTCTAAAAATAAAAGCACTTTTAGTGACTTAAAGTAACCATCAAGTATTTCCGTGTTTTATAGGTCAGGGGTAAGTATATTTTAGACATGGTGGCCTAGGATAGCGTCACAATTCACTGCAGATCAAAGAAGATAGCTATGAAAATTTGCTTTCCATCTTTTGTGTTATTCAGGCATCTCATTCTAGTCAGTTCCTTACTTGTAAATATTTTTTTAAAAAAAATTGTACGTACAAATGAGCAACAAGAAATTCCAAGTCCAAAGCCTTAGTTCCCCCTTTCTATTCCCTATTCTAGGGCAACTGCTCTTTGTTCTGTAGTTTAGAATATCAGGTTAATGACTGAAATGGGAAAGTGGCTTTTTTTTTTAAGGCAATTAGGGTTAAGTGACTTGCCCAGGGTCACACAGCTAGTAAGTGTTAAGTGCTTGGTCTGAGGTCGGATTTGAACTCAGGTCTTCCTGACTTCAGGGCCGCTGGTGTATCCACTGCGCCACCTAGCTGCCCCTGGGGAGTAGCTTTCTTTAAGCAGATGTATTGCATTCTAGTGTCTGCTTCAGCCTCTTCCCTTACCGTACTACCCTCCCCAAGATGTTGTCCACAGCACCCTTATTGGAACTCAGAACATTTCCCAACAGAAACTGTAAATGGTGGTAAGGTATACTTGAAATAGAAATATTACTTTCCTACTTCAGGTGCATTATGAGTTAAATGAACTTTATTTAGAACAATATACTGTAGTGGAAAGAGCACTGGACTTGATGTCAGAAGACCTGGGTTCGGTTCTTAGCTCTAACATTTTATGGCCGTATAGTCTTGGGCAAATCACACGACTTTTCAGAATATCCTTTTCTTCCTCTTTAAAATGGTCGTAGTAACACTTGGCCTATCTACCTCACAGGGTCCTTGTGAAGTAAGCAGGGGATAAATTGTGAAACACTATATAAACTATAATTATGATATGTGGGTTCCTATGAAACTGAAATACCACCTATAACAATATCCAGCAATTGTGCAGTGTTTTACAATTCACAAAGAGATTTACATTTGATCATTGTTTCTATGGAAAAATGCCTTCTGAATTAACTCTTTAAGGGCCCTCTCTCTACTACTCTTTTTTTTTTTGAGGCAATTGGGGTTAAGTGACTTGCCCAGAGTCACACAGCTAGTGAGTATTATATGTCTGAGGTAGAATTTGAACTCGGGTCCTCCTGACTCCAGGGCCGGTGCTCTATCCACTCTCTCTGCTACTTTTGCTGGCTTTGACCCTTTTCTCCATTTGTGTCCCAATGCCAGGGCAGTGACTAACTGTGAATCTCTGGTGAAGGATTTCTACTCCAAACTGGGGCTACAGTATCGAGAGAGCAGTTCTGAAGATGAAGCCTCTAAACCCACAGAAGTAATTGAGATTCCAGATGAGGATGATGATGTCCTCAGTGTTGATTCAGGTGAGGGACAGGGGCTAGGACAAGGAAGTCTCAGGTTTACAGTGGAAGCAGGTAATGGACAGCCCTGTTTATATTTGATCTTTTAAATCCATGTTTGATCTTTCACAGGGATTCCCAGCTTGATTATTTTCCAATTACATGTATGGTTGTTTAGGATCTTTTCAATTGGCCCTGTGTTAGGTGGGAATGTAAAAACACTACAAAAAGAAAGTCCCCATCTTCAAAAAGCTTACATTCTGTTGGAGGTATACAACCTTTAGACAACTAAGTGTATACATGATAATTTAAGAAGGAGGAGAGCTGAAGTTGTGTGTATGACTGGGAGAAGTGATGAGAAAGCATAAAGAGAAGAGCACCAGTGATAGAACCTCATTGAGTGTCAAACTTGGGGAACAAAGAGGGGGAAAAAAGAACAAAAATGAATTAGAGAAGCAGGCAAACCAGAGTGATGCAGTGTCATTGGGAACCAAGGGAAGAGAAAGTATCTAGAAGTTTTCAAGAGTAGCAACTGTTCCAGAGATGGTAAGGAGAATAAGGATGGTTAAAAGGTCATTTGATTTTGTATCTGGGTATTCATTTTCAAGAGGGAAATTTTAGCCAAATTGGGGGTGGGAACCAAACTATAATGGGTTAAGCACATAATGAGGAAGTGGAGGTAATGAATTCAGACCCTTCAAAAAGTTTAAACATAAAGGGAGAGTAACAGAACGTGATTGGGCAGTCAGAAATGATGAATGTGAAGAATTCATAGAAACATAGATTTGTCTCATTCATTCAATAAGCATTCATTAAACTGCTGCTGTGCGTCAAGCATTGCATTGAGCCCTGGGGATGACGGCAAAGTGAGACAGTTCTTGCTCTCAAGGCGCTTACCCTCTAACATTCTTGAGCATAAAATCTGCATCCCTTCTCCTGGCAGATGCAGGGTGGACAAATGGCACAGAATGTTTCCTATATTGGCAAACAAAGTCACTGTTTCAGTTGTGTTTGCTTAACAGTTTTTCTTTGTTACGAGGGAGAGTTTACTGCTAGTGGGTCATATCCAGAAATGACTAAAACATAAAAACCAAAGGTATAAATAACAATTTTAATTTTATTTTAACATTTTAAAAATTAGAGGTGGGGGAAGGAGGAGATGATGCTAGTCGTTATTGGTAGCAATATCAAGGGGATTTATCTTAAGGATAAGGGAAAGCTAAGCCTCTCTGTGGATGGAAGTGAAAGAATGATTAAAGTGAAAGGAACTGAAGCTGTGAAGGAGAAATACAAGAGTTACTTGATAGGGTAAGATCCAGAAAGATTCAAGAAGAGTTGGGTTTAATAGAGGTGGAAGGGTTAACCTCTGAGCGTGGGAGGGATTCCTTATTCTCTGATACAGGAGAGAAAGAGGAGGAAGAGATAAGTGAAGATATAAAGAAATTTTGAGGTTGAGGAGAGGGAAGTTGAAGGAGCAGCTGTTGATTCATTCCTAAGGAGAGGTTGGGCATTGGGCATTGTCAGAGTTCAGAGAAAAATGTTATTATTTCCAGCTGGAGTGGTAGGAAAGGCTTCATGGAAGAAGTAGAAATTGTTCCATGTTGAAGGGTGAGTAGTATTTGGATAGATATGGAGAAAACAGAAGAGGCCATTTTAAGTCAGGAAAATTGTGTGAGCAAAGACAAAAACTTGGGAAAGCAAATGGGAGTCAGAATAAAACCATTTGGATGAAGCCAATGATTCCTGTAGGAGACAGTAGTGAAAGAGAAGGCTACCACACGACATACTTGAGGAGTGACACAAGGACCCCTTTTGATTAGTGGTATCTGAAGCAAATGGAAAATTGTCCAAGATTAAGGGTTTGATCTGTGGTCCTGGAACAGATTTTTGTATGAAGATGATTGGCATGTCACCATTGCCACCAAGAAGTTTCTCTCTGTTCACATTTCTCAGAGCTCTGTTCCTGAACCTCTCTTTCACACTTAGCCCCCTTTCCTTTGTTTTCTAGTTATTTTGTATTCTTGTCCTTCCCCTCAGATTGTAAGGACCTCGAGAGTAGGGCCTGTGATATATCCACCTAGCATATGGTAGGCACCAAAGAAATATTTGCATTTTAGTGATTTGACAATTAGCTCTATGTTAGAACTAATCCCAGAGAAACAGAAAATAAAAGAGCTTGAATAGCCATTACATCTGCGTCTTGGTTTCATGTGCTAATATAGAACTTTAACCTTTCCTTTAAGGTCCTATTCCTCAGATTCCTCTTCAGGAATCTTAATCTTTCAGGAACTGGGATATAGTCTAAAAAATCCTGAATGGGATGTATTTATTAAGCATATATTATGTGCCAGGCACTGTGCTAAACTTAGGATATAAAGTAAAAGGGGAATTGATCCCTGGCATCTAGTTTACACTATGACAGAGGAAGCAACATGTACATAATTAGGTACATATAAAATACATAGAACCTTAAAATGGCACATCCTTCTTTGTTGATGGGCTTGTTAGCCTTCTTGTTTTAAACCCCTCCATCTTCTCTGCCTCATCCTGTAACATCTTTGGGCAGTATCTCAGTATCTACTAAATGCCTACTATGTGCCGAACATTTTGCTGGGCGCTACAGAAGATTCAAAGATAGGATATAGTCCTACTTTCAGTGAGCTTACAGTCTAATAGGTTGGAACACATGTATATAAATATACAGTACTGTGAAGTGCAATCACTATAGGTCAAAATAGAAAATAATAAGAGATAAAAAGTGCTTTTGGAGATTGGAGGAAGAGAAAAGCCATCTCCTATCTGGGGAATCATTGAAAAATTCTCAGAAATGGCAGCATTTGCTCTGGAGCATGGTAGAGTAGAAAGAGTGGAGGATTTGCATTCAGAGGACCCGAGTTCAAATCCCAATTTTGCTGCTTTATTACTTGAGTGACATGGGGTAAGTCACGTAACCTTCTTAGGCTTCATTTTGTCACTTGTAAAATGAGATGATCACTAGGTCTATCTAGCTTTAAATCTGTGATCCTGTGACCCTAAATTGGATAGGATTTCAGTAGGTAGAAATGTGTTAAAAGCAAAAAGCCTGAAAGGGGGAAGGTTCCAGACACAAACAGGAAATTAGGAGTACTGCTTTTTAGCTAGAACATAGTACAAATGGACGGGAATAGTAAGTAAGTAATGTGTGATAAAGCTGGATAGGCAACAAGTTGTGAAGACCCTTAATCCCTAGTTGAAGGAGTCAAAATCACTTGATATACAGTAGGGAACTGTTGTCTCTACCAAAGCCCTTGTCCAGAGCCTCAGCCTGGCATGGAGGTGACCCAGTATTCTCAAAAGTATTCTGAACTGTATTAGTGGAAAGAAAACCCATCACACCTTGATTTCTGAAATATTAACCCAAGTAAGAGAACTGTTGAAGGTTTTGAGTGGAGGAGTGATGTCAGATGTGTGCATTAGGAAGGTAAAGTGAGGAGAGGCTGTAAGTAAGGAGACCAGTTAGGAGCCCTTTGTAGTAGCTCAGGTAGGTATTAATGAGAGCTTATGACAAGTTGGCAATGGTAAAAATAGAAAAGGGTGTGAATCCATAACTATTTTGAAGGTATAATTAGCACAACTTGGTAATTGCTTGTAGCAAAGGAAGAGCCAAAGGTAACATTGACATTTTGAGGCAGGGTAACTGGGTGAATGGCAGTACCATTGACAGAAGTAGACAATTTGAGAATAGTCAATTTGAGGGGAAAGATGTTTTCTGTTTCTGATGTTGACTTTGAGGCACTTTCAGTACCTTTAGATAGTGATGTCTAGTAGGGGATTTGGGAAGAGGTCAGGACTGGAGGTGTCAGTTGGGGATCTTCTGAGTAAAAAGGGTAGGAGGAGTCGTGGGAGTAAATGAGATTGTAAAAATTGAAGAGGACCCAAGAAAAAGCCTTTTGGAAGACACCCTTTTTAAGAAGTGAGAAGAGGAAGAATCAGAAAAGGATTGGTCAGAACATGAAGAGAACCAGAAAGTAGTCACCTCGCAGAATCCAGCAAGTGAGAGAATCTTGGGGAGGATGGTGTGCTTAGCAGTATCACATGTCAGAGCTGAAGACTGACAAAAGAGGATGCAATGACGAAGGAGGTGTTTGGTGACCTTTAGTAGCAAAGGTTCTTTCACAGTGTTGAAGATGGAAACTGCGTTGCAAGTGACTGAGGAGCAGTGGGTGATTAGGCTTAGTTTTTTATTTATAGGAAATATAATTAGAGGGATGTCTTTTTCTCTGAAATCCACAGGTGATGCAGGCAGCAGGACCCCAAAGGACCAGAAGGTGAGTTAAGTGGGAAGGTAAGAGGCAAAATGATTAAAGAAGCTGTCAGGCTAGGGTTACTCAGCAGCATTTGAGTGCCTGCTGTTTGTGGAGACCTGTTTCAGGCACTTTAGAAGACAAAGACAGCACTCACACCCATGGAAGTGACTGAAAAAGGTTTACAAATAGACATTATGAAGGTAAGTTGGATATACAAGTGCAAGATAGTCAACAAGAATTTATTAAATGCTTACTACAAAGGAAGGCAGAAACATAGTCCGTGCCCTCAAGGAACTCCCCCCATTCTAATGTTAGGGGGAGACAACATGCACATAACTCTGTGCATACAGGATAGATAGAGAGTAACTGGTGTTCTCACAAGTATGAGCAGGGGACGGAACTAGGAAAGACTGTCTGCCAGTGGGGGCTTTGAGCTCGGTCTTGAAGGAAGGCCAGGGGAGTAAGGAGACAGGGATAGATGCAGAATTAAGGACTGAGGAGACTCAAACCAGGTGAATTAGGGAGAGTTTCCTAGAAAAACTGAATTTTGAGCCAGGTTTGGAAGCAGAAGCATGTCCTACCAAGAAGTTGGCCATCCTGTTGACTTGCTACAGCTCAGTCGGTTTGAAGGGCAAGTGAGTTCTGCACCTGGGGAGAAGACTCTTGCTAATTCAAAGCTTTTGCTTTCCCACCCTTTGCCCTACAGCTCCGAGAAGCTATGGCTGCCCTGAGGAAGTCAGCCCAAGATGTCCAAAAGTTCATGGATGCTGTCAACAAGAAGACTAGTTCCCAGGACCTGAACAAAGGTCGGACTCATGAGATCATGGAGAAGGCCATGCAAAGCCTGTCCTATGACTGGTGCCGTCCTCCCTCTTCAGAGGCTCGGCCATGTTGGTAGCTTGACGGTTCTTGTTTGTGACCTATTTCAAACCACTCACTCATGGCATTGCTTTTATGGGCATTGCCTAAGTCCTCTGTCTCACAATACAGTGCAGCCTGTTTTCTATACTTGCTTTTGAGTCTTGGTTGGCATATGGTGATTCACTTAAATCTATGAGTCTTCCCTTCAGTCACCTACTGCAACTTGACCATTGGCTATTTTTCAAAGCCTGGAAGCATTCCCCAGTGTAGGAGTGAACAGAAAAAGAACACTGTTGACTCCTCTTAGCCAAGAAGACATGCAGAACCTTTAGATGAGGATTGGAGATTATTTGTAGGTTTTGGCTTTCTGCTCCCTGCAGGTGGCATTGGTAATTGAGACATCTAGAACAGGTGCTCTTGAATTTTTTTGTGTCATGGGCCCCTTTGGCAGTCTGATGAGACCTGTAGACCTCAGAATATTTTTAAATGCATAAAAATGTATAGCATTATAAAGGAAACTGATTTGATTGAATTAAAGATGTAATTTTTTTCCCATTTCCTTGACTTCCTGAAATCTATCCATAGACTCCTTTGTGGTCTCTGGATCCCAGGTAAAGAACTGCATAGCAGCTAGCCCCAACCAATAGAAGTAGTGAGGAAAGCAAAAGACAGGGTTCTCCTACTCCTATCCCTTTTTATACCTCACCCCAAAGATGACATACCTAGCAGTTTGGTGTGGTAGTGTCCCCAAGATATGGAATCAGGAGTTCCTGAGTTTGAATCCCCTAATACTTGCTAGCTGTAGGCGACTTATTTACTTCTGAGCCTATTTCCTCATCTGTCATAGGAAGATAATAACAGCACTAACCTTACAGGTTGTTGTGAGTTTCAAATGAGATCAAAGATCTTTTAAGACTCAAAAGTGCTATATGAATGTTATTGTTCATTGTTGCGATGATTCTTCCCCAGGAGCCTTGGGTCAAGTGCCTGTTGAATTGAGTAAGGATGGTGACCTTGTTGTCAGCATGAGAATCCTGGGCAAGAAAAGGACCAAGACATGGCACAAGGGAACCCTCATTGCCATCCAGACAGTTGGTATGTGCAGCCGAGGGGGGAAAGTCAGTGGTACAAGGAGTTGTTGGGGCACCCATCCCGTCGCTTCAGCAGTCAGTCCCTGGACCTCTTTTTAGTGGCCTACACGGTCTTCTAGTTGCCCTTCACATCAAATCTAAACATCTAATTATGGTCTTCCAGACACTCTCCAACCGATGAACTCCCTTTATCAGCATTTTTTCTGCTTTGGATGGTCTGTCTGCTGTTACAGAACCTGCCCTGTGTCTCCTCAGCTTTCATTTGGGTCCTACTTCTTTGGTGTCATTGACTTTATGAGGCTTTGCCTCTCTTCTCTCTGCAAGTCCTGAGCTTCTTCCATGCGTTTTTTCTTCCTTTCTTTTTCTCATCTCTCTACTATCCAGTCAAAATAGATAAGCATGGTTATTTGGTTTCGTGGTGTGTACTCTTAGGCACATGCCCTCCATGTGTTCTCTCTCTGCATTTAAACTGCTGAGCTCCTTTAGGTAGGAGCTGTTTCCCCCATTAGCGGTAGAAGTCCTGGGACGCAGGAATTATTCCTTCTCTATCTCGCTATCTCTGTCCAGAAGTAAGCACAGGGTTGTGGGTGTGATGAGTAAGCAAAGTGATGAGTGGTGGAGAGAGTATTGATTGAATTTGGAGTCAGAGGACTTGGGTTCAGATGTGGCCTTTTCTACTTACTGCTTGTGGGACCTTAGACAAGTCGCTTAATCTGATTGGGCCTCAGTTTTTTGTTTTTTGTTTTTTGTTTTTTTAAATATGTAAAATGAGAGAGATGTATGAAGTGATCTCTAAGGCCCCTTTGAGCTCTTTTTCTATGATTTGTGAATTGACAATTATATTGATGCCTTTCTTCCTTACCTAGGGGCTGGGAGGAAGTTCAAAGTCAAATTTGACAACAAAGGGAAGAGCCTGTTGTCTGGGAACCATATTGCCTATGACTATCACCCTCCAGCAGACAAGCTGTATGTAGGCAGCCGCGTGGTGGCCAAGTATAAGGATGGGAATCAGGTCTGGCTCTATGCTGGCATCGTGGCTGAGACTCCAAATGTCAAAAACAAGCTCAGGTACTGGGACAGGGGATTATAGAAAGAGAAGCATCTGGAAGACTGAGCCGCTGATGCGTCCTCTAAGAAATTTCCAGCTCTCAGAACTGACTACATTCTCAATTTTGTCTTTGATTCTTAGCATAAATCCTCCAACCTTGGGCCATTGTTCCCAAAGATCAGCCAGCCCATTTTTCATCTGAGAGTTGTAGGAATGATTCTCCCCTTCTCCCTAATTCCTATTTGACTTTGTCTTTCAAGCCTTAAAAAAAGAAAATGTGAAGTAGGAGAGCCACAGAAGCTCAAAGCCAAAAGAAAATTTGTATAAAAACCAATGAAATAGATGGCAATTAGCTACTTTGATTAAAAAAGAAGAAAATCAAATTACCAGAATCAAAAATGAAAAATAGGGGCAGCTAGGTGGCACAGTGGCCCTTAATTCAGCAGGACCTGAATTCAAATCCGGCCTCAGACACATAACACTTACTAGCTATGTGACCCTGGGCAAGTCACTTAACCCCATTGCCTAGCCAAAAATAAATAAATGAATGAATGAATGAATAAATAAATAAATAAATAAATAAGTGATAAGAGAGATTTTGTTTCCAACTATATGCCAATAAAACCAACAACTTAAATGAAGTAGGTGATCATTACAAAAATGTAAAATACCAAGAGAATTTGACAACCCAGTCTCAGGAAAAGAAACTGAATAAGCTATAAATGAACTTGTAAAGAAAAAACCCCCAGGACCAAATGAATTTACAAGTGAATTCATTCAAGCATTCAAAGAACAATTCATTCTAATATTTTCAAACTTGCAAAAATAGCAAAGGATGTGATCCTGCCAGATTCCTTCTATGACACAAATATGATCCTGCTAGCTAAACTAAGAAGAGTCAAAACAAGGGATAGAAAATTATAGACTAGTGGCCTTAGTTAGCACTGATGAAAAAATTTTAAATAAAGTATTAACAAAGAGGCTACAGCAACACATGACAAAAGGTTATACGCAATGACTAGGTTGTGTTTATACCAGGAAAGCGGAGTTGGCTTAATATTAAGAAAACTACAAGCACAATTGACCAGAATAGTAACAGGGACAACCAAATCGAATTAAATCAGTAGGTGCCCAAAAAGCTTTTGACAAAAACTGAAAAGCACCCATTTCTATTGAAAACTCTAGAAGACATAGAGACAAAAGAATTTACCTTAACATGGTAAATAGTATAACCAAGAACCATTATACGTAATGGATATCAGCTAGAGATCTTTCTAGTAAGATTTCTGATGAGGCAAGATAGCCTTCGTCACCACTTCTGTTTGACATCATGCTATAAAGGATGGCTATAGCAAGAAGACAAGAAAAAGAAACTGAGAGAATAAGCATCCCTAGAGAAGAAACGAGATGACAGTTTTTGCAGATGAAATTGGCATACTTTAAGCTCTCTAGTGAGTCAACTGAAAATTAACCATAACAATAACTTCAGCAAAGTTGCGCGATATGAAACAAATCTATATCAGCATTTCTATATGATATCAATAAAATCCAACAGAAAGGGAGAAATTCCATTTAGAATAACTACAGAATATGTAAAATATTTTAGTATCTGCTTACCAAGATAGATATAAGAACTATATAGACACAGCTATAAAACACTATTTGCAGATATAAAGACAAACCTATATAATTGGAGAAATAGTCATTGTTCATTGGTAGACTCAGCCAATATAATAAAAATGGTACTACTAAATTCATCTACTTATTCAGGGCCATGCCAATCAACTACCAAAGGATTACTGTGTTAGTATAGTTTCAGAAAAAATAATAATGAAATTAACGTGGAGGAAAAAAAGATGAAGAATCCCAAGGGAAACAGTGTTAAAAAGTGGAAAGGAAGTGGGTCTGGCAGTAGCAATTCTCAGACTATGTGACCAAGCAGTAATTATCAAAAAAATTTGTACTGGCTAAAAAAAATTGATCAGTGGAACAAATTAGGAAGACAACCTGAAGAAATAAACAAACCTTGTCACCTAGTGTTCAGTAAACTTGAAGACCCCTGTTCTTAAAGACTCATTCTCTGAAAAAAATTATTGGGAAAACTAGACAGTAGTTTGACAGAGATTAGGTTTAGACCGCCACCTTACATCGTTTAAGAAGATAAGCTCCAAATAGATACTTGATTGAAGTATAAAAGGTCACATCATAAACAAATTACCTGTCAGATCTATGGATAAAGGAAAAGTTCATGACCAAACAAAGACTAGGAAGGATCACAGAAAATAAAATGGACTCTTTTGATTATGTAAAATTAGTTTTGCCAATCCATTACAACTACGATTAGAAGAGAAACTGGGAAAAACATTTACAGCAAGTTTCTCCAATAGAGGTCTCATTTCCAAAATAGACAAGGAATTGATTCAAATTTATAAGATTTATAAATTTTCATTTGTTTTATTCATTATTTCATTTCATATAAATTATTATTTCATTTCATATAAATTCAAATTTATAAGATTAAGAGCCATTAACCAATTAATTAATGGTTGGAAGATATGAATAGACAGTTCTCAATGAAAGAATTCCAAGCTCCCTAAAAGCCATATAAAAAATGCTCAAAATTACTAATACAAAAATACAAATCAAAGCAGTTCTGAGTTTAACATCACACCCATCAGATAGCAAAGCTAACAAAAAAAGAAAATGATAGATGTTGGTAGAGTTGCAGGAGAATAGGCAGGCTGGTGCAGTGTTGGAGCTGTGAATTGGTGCAGCCGTTCTGGGAAGCAATTTGGAATTAGGCCTAAAAAGTTACTAAACTGTGCATAACCTTTGACCTAGTGATACCGCTAGTAGGTCTCTAGCCCAAAGAGATAAAGGAGAAGGAAAAGATCTTATATGTACAAAAAATATTTATAGCAACTCTTCTTGTAGTGACAAAGCACTGGAAACTAAGGGGATGCCCATCAACTGGAGTAGCTGAACAAATTATGGTATAAAAATGTAACGGAAATACTATTGTGTTATAAGACATGAAAAAAGGGGGCAGCTAGGTGGCGCAGTGAATAGAGCTCTGGCCTTGGAGTCAGGAGGACCTGAGTTCAAATCCAGCCTCAGACACTTAACAATAGCTGTGTGACCTTCGGCAAGTCACTTAACCCTGATGGCCTCACCAAAAAAAAAAGGTGTGAAAAAAGAACCGTTTCAGAGAAACCTGGTAAGACGTATATGAACTGATGCAGAGTGAAGTGAGCAGAATGAGGATAACAGTTTATACTATAACATCAATATTGTTAAGTAAATAGTTCTGAAAGACTTAACTCTGTTCAGTGCATTGACCAAACATAATTCCAGAGAACTGATGATAAAGAATCCTACCTACCTCGTAACAGAAAGTCGGTGATTTAATGTGCAGATTGAGAAACACGTTGAATGTGGCCAGTATGAGATTTTGTTTTGTGCGACTATTCTTATGTGATACAAGGATTTTGTTTGTTTTTTTTTCCCAGTGGAAGGTAAGGTAGGAGGGGGGAAAATAAGTGCTTGATGATTGAAAGAAGTGTGTGTGTGTGTGAGTGTGTGTGTGTATTTTTTTTTGTTATTGTTAAATAAAAGAATTAGGAATCTAGAGAAGGTGGCCTACTGGAGACTGGTTAATTACACAGAATAGGAATCCAATAAGCCAAAGAGAACAAATAATCTTTGATTATACATGCAGAAATGCAGAGTAGCTCTAAAGAAGAACTCTTAGCCACTAGGGTGGGAGGAAAGCCTGAGAATAGAGTAAAGAAGGCTATGGACTGCAATATTGCTCCATAGAAACCAAAAGAAGCTTAATCTTCGAGCTAGAAGAGTAGAGACAACTAGGGAATAATCCGCCAAATGTGTTGAAGGTCCCCTGTCTGCTGAATGGACTTGTTTCACCATCACTTTTTATTTTTAGGTTCCTCATCTTCTTTGATGATGGCTATGCATCCTATGTCACACAATCTGAGCTCTATCCCATTTGTAGACCACGTGAGTTTCCCTTTCCCCTTCCCACCTTGTGTACCCTCTTAAGAGACATAAATGATATGCTTCTTTCTTCGTGGCTTATTGTGGCCTTGTGATTCCATTCTAATCCCAGGAAACATGTATTGGCTACCAGAATCCTTGTCCCTTGTGAAGGGTGGTTTCATTTGCTAAATATTAGAGCTCTGTCTTCATAGCTAAAATGCAAGAAATTTCTGACACCACACTGTTTAGACAGATCCGTGTTTTGGGGGTAACTTACAAATATGTTATTTTGATCCTCATTCTTCCTGATGCTGCACCTGGGCATGAAGAAGAAGATGCTAAATGGTTGTTTTATGATATCCTAAATGTGTGAATATGCCCGAGGAAAAGACTTTCCAGGGAATAACCAGTTTGGCTTGATGTACTTCCAGATATGTTTGATTGCAAACATTCACATTCAAAGGCCCTTAAAAGATTGATGTAAGTGTGTGCCTATTTTTTTATTCCATTTGGGCCAATATTATTTTCCTGGATTTGCCACCTGGCTTCTTTTAAACCCTTTAACAAGAGTCTCCACTTGAATTTTCCTGAGGGTCCATATTCAGGTGTATGATGTGAATGAGGATATAATTTGCATGTTTTTGCGCACATAAGATTTGCATATACTTACACGTGCTATAATTTATCCTTGATTTTCAGGTTAGTCTTGTTCTATCCCTTGAAATTATACTTTCTTTATATTCTTTTTCTCTCATAACTTAGAAAATCCCAGTTCTCCTTTCTTCACCTGCCTTTAACAAGACCTTTTCTCTTTTGAACAGTGAAGAAGACATGGGAGGACATTGAGGACATTTCGTGCCGAGACTTCATCGAAGAATATATCACTGCCTACCCCAACCGTCCCATGGTGCTACTTAAGAGTGGGCAGCTCATAAAGACTGAATGGGAAGGCACTTGGTGGAAGTCACGGGTGGAAGAGGTGGATGGGAGTCTGGTCAAGATCCTGTTCCTGGTATGGCCTCTTCCTCGGGTTCTGGGGAGGAGGCTGTAAGTGTAAGAGTAGCTGTGCGAGAGAAGTTAATAAGGGTCGGTTTGTATCCTACAGTCTCCTATCTCTTCCTTCACTCCCACTTCTTCTAGTCAGTTATTGCCAGACTTCGTTTTTAATACTAGATAGCAAGAGTATCTTCGTAAGTTGATATTAAGTATTTTCTTGTGTGCAGGAAGTAGGCATAGATTCTACCGTTGGATAACTCTCTAGCTAGCTAATGGAAGAACATAGGAGAAACAGCTACGAGGTAAAAATAATAGAGATATACAGATTCAGGCCTGAATTCAGTACCGTGCAAACTAGATACTGTTGATTCTTGTCATTCGTGGGAGTTATGTTCTATGAAGTTGCTGTAAACACTGAATTAATGAATACTAATTCTAACACCACTGAACCATTGCTCCTAGAGGAAATACAGGGTTAGATTCCTATGTGCCTCTGGTTATAACATTTACTTCATCACTTTCTGGAGTGGCCTCATGGACAGATCAGTGAATTTCGCCTTCTTTTTTCTGGATGCACCATATTATATTGTTAATGCAGCATTATTCCTCACACCTGCATGAAGCTTATCTAACGCAGGACTTCAGCTGGGACGTGTGCATTGCGTGAATCCAGTTTTTCACTACTGTGCCTATCTGCGAATTGTCACAAAAGTGCTACATGTATTGATTTTGGGTTGTTAAATTTTAGCAAGTGGGCAAATTCACAAATCCGGAATCTGTGAATAATGAGCATCGACCATATTCATTGGACAGTCAGTGCTTAGCTTTGTGGAAAGCTTTGTAGCCATATGTGGAGTATGGAGCTTACAGTCTAAAGCAGAACCAAGATGGGCCAGTAAACAAATCAATGCCTTCTGGTTATAGAGCCCTGTAGATAATACTGTAGAAAGATAAGATGGAAGGAGGAACTTGGGTTCTAGGGCCTAGGACACATATACATTAGTTTGGAAGGACAAACACACATGAAAAAATTATTAATAATAATTACTGAATAGGATACAAAAGAATACAAACTCAGTCATATGAAAATATAATAAAATTATATTTTTGTTCCAGTGTGGAACAAAATGTGATTGAAAAAGAGGGACCTTGCATTGCAGTGGTGAGGGATTTAGGGATCATCAAAAGAGGTTTCCTCAGAGGAAGCAGCTTTGGTGTGCTCCCCACAAATGACAGGACAGACTCCGGCCTCTCTCCCTTCTCCCCCGACATCAGGATGACAAGCGGTGCGAATGGATCTATAGAGGCTCCACCCGACTAGAGCCCATGTTCAGCATGAAGACATCCACAGCGTCCACACTGGAGAAGAAGCAGGGGGGGCAGCTCCGGACACGCCCAAACATGGGTATGTCTCAGGAGGGTCCCAGGGCATCTCCTGCCCGGGGAAGAGGGAGGACCGCAGAGAGATTCTGTTAAAATCACTTCTTTGCTTTCTTGACTCACCGTAAGTTGTTTTATTTTTTAAATTGTGACCACTTTGCTGGTCCATCCATATGTTATGGCATCAAACCCTTTATGAAGACAGCATATGTTTGTGATAATATCTGGATGGGGTTACAAATTGGGGTAGTATGCTGTGGAATGGAGTTTTTCCTCTTAATGATGGAGGGATAATTGTCAGCGTGATCTGATTTGTTGCATTATCCACAGCCAATTTTTAAGCCTACCCTGGTTTTTCTCCGTCATTCAGCATGCTTCTACCGTCTCGCATACTTAAAAAAATAAATATTCACCTGAATAAAACATAATTAAGGAAGTAAATCCAGAAAATACAAAATTCATATTGTATGCCAAAACCCACAATGAATACCTTCTGCATTATCCATGCCACTGTTCCCCTTATATTAGTGTGGATAATAGAGAAATTAGAGTAATTCCATCCACTTGTTTGCTGAAGGTGCTTCTGCTCCTCTTTCTCTTTCACCCATGGGAGATGGGTGTACATTGTGAAGTAGGACATAAGTGGCATTAAGCCAAGCGTGGTCCGTATTATTTCCCCTGCCAGGTGCTGTGAGGAGCAAAGGTCCTGTGGTACAGTATACTCAAGATCTCACTGGTACTGGAACCCAGTTCAAGCCCCTGGAACCACCTCATACTGCCTCCTTGCCTGCCCCCGCCCTGTCCCCTCAGGTGGCTGATTTGGAGTGAGTACGAGTCCTTCCTGTGCTCTGACTCCTTTTGGTCTTACCTCACCTTCGTACAGTGAAAGCTCTTCAGCCCCTTCCTCATCCTGGTCTTCCTTCCATGACCTGCTTTTTTCTCTCTCCCAGAAGTCTGGAGAGTCAGCTCGCCCAGGCACGGAAGCAAGTGGCCAAAAAGAGCACATCTTTCCGGCTAGGTTCTGTGGGCTCTGGTCATTCGTCCCCTACGTCCCCTGGGCTTAATGAGGCAGTCCCTGGTGGGAAGTCTGGAGTTGGCCAGACAGTCAGGTGAGATGAACTAGGAGCAACCTGATGGACGCTAAGCAGTCTGTGCGCTCATCACCCTCATGGCCTGCGAGTCCATGGTATAAAATAAAGAGGAAAATTTGGTTTCTGGCTTCAGGATGTTCAGTTCAGTGAGGAAACAAGAAAACATGGAGCCAGGAAAATTAGTCTGGGGAGACTTCTGAAGAAAGGAAGTCTAGAGCAAGGTTGAGAAGAAGAGGTACACGGTATGCCCCACAGCAGGGATGGACCACCTCTCAGACCTGGGTGGGTGAAGGGAGGACAAGAAAGGAACAAGTTTGACTGTCTGAGGTGGGATCTTCAAGCCCAGGAATTTCAGGAAATAGGCTTGGTTAGACAGGGTTGCCTTGAGGGAAGTTGATGAAAGATGAAATGGGGGGCCAACTCAAGATTCTAAGGAAGACAAGGTAAAGTTGGGGACAAAGAATACCTTTGTTAGGCTCTGAAGCATATGGTGCTGGCTGTGTAAAGGTGGCCACACTTTGAGTAAAAGCTCTGGATTTCGAGCAAGGAAGACCTGAGTTCAAATTCCACTCATATTCACTCCTCCCTTCCTAGCCGTGTGACCCTGAGCAAGTCACTTAACCTCTGTCTACTTCAGTTTCCTCATCTATAAAATGGGGATAATAAAAGCACCTAGTAACCAAGAGTTGTCAGGCTCACATGAGATTACATCTGTACAGCACTTTGCAAACCTTAAAGCACTATAAAATTTCTGATTTTTTTAGTAGTAATAGTGGTAATAATAATAACTCATATTTCTTTGACACATCAAGATTGGTAAGGTACTTTCCTTAACCACAGCCCTGTGAGCTTAGAATGCTGTGATATATCACTTAGCTGCTGGAGGAGGAAGGCTTTGTGAAGAGCGCTACTGAGTTTCCCTCTGACTTGCCTTCTCCCTCTCTCTATCAGGTTAGCACCAGGCTCTGCGGCCCCTGGCCCGACCTTCCCCGCTTTTCATGGCATGCTGGAGCGGGCTCCAGCCGAACCCTCCTATCGGGCCCCGATGGAGAAGCTCTTCTACTTGCCTCATGCCTGTAGTCACACCTGCCTCACTCGAGTGAGGCCAGTGAGTAACGCGCAGTACCGGGGCAAGAACCCCCTCTTGGTTCCTCTGCTCTATGATTTTCGGCGCATGACGGCCCGGCGCCGGGTCAACCGCAAAATGGGCTTTCATGTTATCTATAAGACACCCTGCGGCCTCTGCCTGAGGACAATGAACGAGATTGAACGCTACCTCTTTGAGACAAGCTGCGATTTCCTTTTCCTGGAGATGTTCTGTTTGGACCCATATGTTCTTGTGGATCGGAAATTCCAGCCCTATAAGCCTTTTTACTACATCCTGGACATCACCCATGGCCAGGAGGATGTTCCTCTGTCATGCGTCAATGAGATTGATACTACCCCACCACCACAGGTGGCCTATAGTAAAGAGAGGATCCCGGGGAAGGGCGTCTTCATCAACACTGGCTGGGAGTTCCTTGTTGGCTGTGACTGCAAAGATGGTTGTCGGGACAAGTGAGTTGGGGGTGCTAGTTATTTTTATTTCTCTCCTGGCACTTCTCTTCTTTCTCAGGCTCCTATTTTTCTTCTCTGTTTCCCCCTTGTGATTCTTCATCTCTTTCTTTTTATTCTTTCCCAACTGTGGCTCTGCCCTAAGGCCTCTACTTGTTATAGGAAGGAAATGGTAGGATATTTGGGCCTGGATTTTTTTCTGAGTAACTTTGGTCAAATTCCTACCTGTCTCTGTCCCACTTTGCTTTCTTTCTTCTTCCCCCATCATTCTGTCTTAATTGTTTTCTTCATTATTCTTTAATGTTTTAGTATGCAACCTCTATTCTTTCTCTCTGTATGTGTCTCTCTTTGTCGTGTGTGTGTGTGTATCCTTCCCTTTAAATATGTGTATTTCTGTGTGGGAGAATCTCCTCTACCATCTCTTTCCCTATCACTTATCAATGACTTCTCACCCCTAGAAAAAAATCTTCCAGCCTCATGCATTCATCCCCTTTTATTCTACATCCAGGTCTAAATGTGCTTGCCACCAGCTTACCATCCAGGCAACAGCCTGCACCCCAGGAGGCCAGATCAACCCTAACTCTGGCTACCAGCATAAGAGACTAGATGAGTGCCTACCCACAGGGTAAGTGAGAGAGGGAGACTGAGCTTCGGACATGAAAGAAGTTATTTGTGTCGCTTTTCTTTTGATTTGTTTGCAAAGACTTCAGTATACTGGAACAGGGAATACAGAAACAGTTGCATTTTTCTTTTTTTTTTTTTTTAAAACAAGCATTTATTAAGTCAAATTTGGTTCCATTATTTTACTGTCATTGAAATGAAATAAAAGAATGCTATTGAATAATCATTGGAAATTTTGCTTTGAGGTAAAGGATGATCTATTTCCTAGTTGTATGGTTTTTATGACATTCATCTTAGCCAGCAAGTGAAATTGTTAGAAATGTATTTTATGGAGTCATTGCATTGATATTTGACTGGGAGTCACTATAGGCAGAGTCCTGTACTAGGTGTTAGATGTTCCATCTCTTTAAGGGATTTACAGCATATGTAGACATAACATAAATGCATATGAAGACTTAACATGTAGAAAGTCATTATCTAAGTAAGCATAAAGTGACACATTGCCACTAGCATTCACAAGCGCTAAGGAGATGTGAAACCAAAGCATTATTGAGGGGTAATTAGGAGAGAGTTGAGGTGGATGTCAAAGGGAGTCAGGGACATAGATTAGCAGGGAGGCCATTTGGAATGGGAGCAACATCATATCAACATGGGGCTGACATCCTTGAATTTAAGGGTGTCAGAAAACAGAAGCCTAGGACATCGGTAAACACATAACCTGTCATTTAGAATAAGCAGAGATTTTAGCTAATGTCAACATTGAGGGGAAGAAAAATTAACTAGTCTCAGTAGTTTTCTTTCTAAGAGTCATCTGTTGAATTTTCATACCAGAGAGCTACAAAGGTCTAGCACTTAGGTCTTAAAGGTAATTAACTGCAACAATGATGTTGGAAATCTGAACAATTGTGACAGCACAGTAATTAGCTGATAACTCTTTCCTTAAATATAAGCTAATTCATCTGCTATAACTGTTGGCAGCTTTGAAGTCTTTAGCCATTGCACACATTTTAAAAAGGAAGTACCTTTGGCAATACAGATTTTTAACTGTGGTTAATGTCATAGAGATCATGTTGTAATAGATTTTAATCTAACCTCTTTACAGGGTATATGAATGTAATAAGCGCTGCAAATGTAACCTGAACATGTGCACAAACCGCTTGGTGCAGCATGGGCTGCAGGTTCGACTGCAGCTCTTCAAGACACAGAACAAGGGCTGGGGCATCCGGTGCTTGGATGACATCGCCAGAGGCTCCTTTGTCTGTATCTATGCAGGTTGGTGGAGTGAGAGAAGGAGCATAGACTTTAGGATTGGAAGGGATGCCAGAGACTAAAAGACTTCAGCATCATTCCCAACAAGCAATCACTTAAGCACAAGGACAAGTTAGATATGTAGAGAGACATTACTCAGTTGTCAGACCCATGGAATGGGGAGTGGTGAGGGGCCAACAGGGGTGGGGAACCTGTGGCCTTGAGGCCCTCTAGGGCCTCATGTGCGGCCTTCTGAGTCCAAGTTTTACAGAACAAATTCTTTTATGAAGGTGATTTGTTCTGTGAAGTTTGGATCAAGTCCACCAACAGGCCTTAACAAGCAAGTGTTGGCAGACGAGTGTGTCACACATCATCAGGAAGCCCAGCATGCATCAGCAGGAGTATGTGCATGTAATGACTTGTTTACAATATGATACTTACATGACACAGTATTGCATCATCAAAATTTCAGTGCGGGGAAAAAAAAACTAGATTTATAACAAATTATTAAATTTAAGATGTCATTTTTTTAATTTATATTTTTTGAAATGGTGCAAATTTAAAAAAACAAAACATTAAAGGGTTAAAGTAGATTTCCAGGAGAATGCTGAGTAATTTTTTTTTTTTAAAGAGGGCGGTAGGCCATATAAGTTTGGGTACCTCTGCCCTAGAAAGATCTCTTAGCATGAGCTCCAATTCCCCTTCTTATTTTTTCATGTCTCTAGGCATGGGAAAAGAGACATGAAAAAATAAGAAGGGGAATGGGACCTCAGGTTAAAATTCAGAGACTTTCCTAAGTCCACATAGGTGGGAAGTCAAATAATGGTTTGTTATCAAGGATAGATGATAGCAATCTTATGTGGTTTATGGTGGGTTTGGGGATCATGGCCATGGGAAAAAGGGGGAAGAATAGAATGAACTTGTCAAAGATACGGTCCCCTTGTTTCCAAGGTGCTTTTAACCTTCTCGTTTTCCATCCAGGCAAAATTCTAACTGACGACTTTGCAGACAAGGAGGGTCTAGAAATGGGGGATGAGTACTTTGCAAACCTGGACCATATTGAAAGTGTGGAGAACTTTAAGGAAGGATATGAAAGTGATGCCCCTTGCTCCTCTGACAGCAGTGGTGTGGACCTGAAGGACCAAGAAGATGGGAACAGTGGCACTGAGGACCCTGAAGAGTCTAATGATGACAGTTCAGATGATAACTTTTGCAAAGATGAGGACTTTAGTACCAGTTCAGTCTGGCGTAGTTATGCCACCCGGCGGCAGACAAGAGGCCAGAAGGAGAATGGATTGTCTGAGACGGCCTCCAAAGACTCCCGCCCCCCAGACTCTGGCGTCTCCAATCTTTCTGCCCCTCCACTTTCCATAGGGGGCTGTAAACCTCCTTCCTCTGAGGACACACCCAAGAACAAAGTGGCCACGTGGCTAAGCTGCAACAACGTCAGTGATGGCAGCTTTGCTGACTCAGATAGCCGCTCTTCCTTCAGGACCAGCGAGGGTGGAGATGGGAGGGCTGGGGGAGGCCGTGGAGATGGAGAGAAGCCCTCCATCTCAGGGGTAGGGGTCAAAGAAGAGGGGGATATCAAGCCACCCAAGAAAGAGGTGAGCAGTTCAGAATCCACGGGCTTTGGGGTTCTTTCCGCTGATCCTTTATACAGTCATCTTTCTGAATTACCATGGGGGTTGTACACGTTCTGGATGATTTTTAGCAAATGTTTAATATATCCATGCAGCCTTCCCCATTACCCAACTAGTTTGGCCTATGTTGCCATTTCCCACCATGAATGTGTCCGGGAAATGTGATTCATTTTAATATTATGAACAAAACATTAGCTAGAGAAATTATCTGATGAATTCCAAAATCTCTTGTGAATGGATTTTGTATTGTCTGCTATTTGGGGTCATCCGAGAATGAAGCATTGACTGTGTAGGTTCTTTTGTTCCCATTAAATAGCCTCCATGTTGGAAGTGGAAACTGAAGCTCAAGGCCAGCTGAGTCCACTCTCAGCCCCTAAGGTTCTGTTCCTCTGAGGGCTGCCAAAAGGCCCACTCTCCTTCCTGAAACCTTCTCTCCCAGAAGTGTTGCTGAGCCCACTGTGGCCATGACTAAGAAGCAGGGTCACTCCATCTGCCCTCTGCCTTTAGACAGCACAGCCCCACTCGGCACTGTTCCTTAGTCAGGAGGGCAGGGGGAAAGTGTGTAATTGTGGAATTTAAAAAGAAAAAAAAATGTTTAACTTTGCATTTGCTGTTGTACTTCCCAGGAGCCTGATGAACTGAACAAGATTTTGTTGTAAGTATCTTCTGTTACTAACTCCCTGTTTCCAAATCTATCCTCCACCACAGTCTGAAGATGATGGGAAACATCGAAACAGCTCTGACAAACACTCTTCCCATTCTGTTTTGCACACTAGGCCTAGTGAAAGTTCCAGGACTTTTGGTTACAACCCATCCCCCTTGAAGACTGAAGGTATCAAGTGCCCACCTAGCAAGACCAATATGCTTCAGGCCCGGAGGCTTGTGGGGCGTGCCCAAGCCAACCCTGATGTAAGTAATGCTGCTTAGCTTGTTTTCTCCATGATTCTGCTAGTCTTAGTCCTAAAGCCAGGGAAAGCATTTTTACCATCTCATGGTCTTCATAATTTTGTTAGTTGAGGGTAGAAATAGGGTTCCTTCTTTTTCCTCCATGGTTCTGGCTTCTTCACTCATCCCACACTGTGGTCTAACTTTTTTCCTGCTTTAGAATCAGCCCCTTGCATTTCTGTCCTTTACCTCCACCCCACACTCCATTTTCCACCTATTGATTCATTATGGAGAACTGAGGCAGAGAGCCCAGATTTCCCCATCCCCAGCCATTCCTGGAGAGGTACTACTCATGGTTCCTTAACCCTAATCCTTCTGCCAGGATGTTTTGACACTGTCCAGCAGCACAGAAAGCGAGGGGGAGAGTGGGACAAGCCGAAAGCCCATGGCTGGTCAGGCTCTAGCCACAGCAGCTGACAGTGATGACATCCAGACCATCTCATCTGGCTCTGATGGCGAGGATTTCGAAGACAAGAAGAACCTGTCTGGTACTTTGGGTGAATTTAAGGGGCATTTATTAAGGGACTTTAAGACCTGGAGTATAGTGGAAAGCCTAGAGCCCAGTACCCAGGTCCACCATCTCCTTCCCAGCTGTTAATGTCACATCCTCTTCCTTTCTTAGTTTGCTAACCCTCTCCTCCAGCAGCTGTTCTGTCAGGTTGGTGTAGCTTTACCTAAAAAAAAAATCCCATTTAAGGTTTTGCTAAGCATCCCAGACTCGTGTCTTTTTGGTGTAGTGAACAGTGTACCTGCAGGGAAGAGTAAAGTTGGGATAACAATAACTGACCTCTATGTAATCAGTTTGCACAGAGCTTTAAATGTATTCTCTCATTTGATCTCCATCCCAAACCTGTGAAGTCTGTGTCCACCCAAGGTCACATGGCCGCTGTCAGAGCTGAGATTTGAACCCAGCCCTTTATTGGTTCTAGGTTCAGGACTTCCCTGCTGGGCCAGACTGTGCTGTCTCCCAGCCTTTATCTCCTCATTTCTCCACAGGCCCAATCAAACGTCAGGTGGCTGTGAAATCCACACGTGGTTTTGCTTTAAAATCAACACACGGCATTGCTATCAAGTCAACCAATATGGCATCTGCAGACAAGGGTGAGAGCGCACCTGTCCGCAAGAACACGCGCCAGTTCTATGATGGCGAGGAGTCTTGCTACATCATTGATGCCAAGCTAGAAGGCAACCTGGGTCGCTATCTCAACGTGAGTTTCCCTTCCCCGCCATCCCAAAGGTCCCCAAGATCGGACGCCCTGAGGACCTGAAAACAAGCACATCCCAGCCCCCTTGTTCTTGGACCAAAAATCCCACCTCATTATTAGGCCTCATTATTTAACCTCAAGGGTCCGACTTGTCCCTTTCCTTGCCTCCAGAGAAGCATTTAGCCTAAAGCATCTCGGTAAGATATCTCCTCAGGGTTGGAGACCCACCAGTTCTTACCTCCCTCTTGACTTTTGGCGTTCCCTTACTTTTGTCCCAGTCCACCTGTATTCGACATTCCCACCCAAATTGTGACCATTTATTCTCAGTTCTGACTTCATCCTGTTTCCATGCCCACAGCACAGCTGCAGTCCTAACCTGTTTGTCCAGAATGTCTTTGTCGACACCCACGACCTTCGTTTCCCCTGGGTTGCTTTCTTTGCCAGCAAGTAAGAATCAGGGAGAAAAAGAAGAAAGGGGTCTGGGCTTGGCAGCGGGAACTAAGGTGGAAATTCCCCAACTGTGCACCGTGTTTTTTTTACCTCTGGACCGAAAGGGCTCCAGGACTGTTGGGCTTTCTGTGCTGTGTCCATTCTTTGTTTCCCATGCCTTTTTCCAGGAGGATACGGGCCGGAACGGAGCTGACCTGGGACTATAATTATGAGGTGGGCAGCGTGGAGGGGAAGGAGCTGCTGTGCTGCTGTGGGGCCATAGAGTGCCGAGGACGGCTTCTTTAAACCTCCCTGCCACGCTCAGGACACTCCGAGTCATCTCAAACTATGGCCCTATCCAGCAGACTTGACCCCTCCTCCCCTTCCTCAAATAGATAAAAATGGGTACCCTGCAGTTGGAGGGTCCCTTCCCGTGTGGTGCTATCAGGCAGGGCCCGTCCCCTCCACCCCCAGTCTACCTTCCCAGCATGACAGTTGAAGGAGATCACAGCTTGTGGACAGGGCCCTTCCATTCCTGTCCCTTCTATTGCATTCACATGAGTGTGGCAGACCTAATCTGTCCCTGAGATGGGGGTGGTTTTTCCCACCCCCACTCCCACTTTGTATTCTTCCTTGAACATCTTTTAACAAGGAGATAAATCTGTGTCTCTCTGGTTTGATTTTTCTTTCCCAGCTCCCTTCTCCAGACAAGGGAGTCTGATCCTATGATCTTAGTTTGTTCTTCTTGCCCATACACACTGTCCTGAGTATCTTGGATCATCAGTTAGTCCTTTCCTATGTCTGTGTGCCAGGTAAAGTTTAAGGGGGGGTGGGGGGAATGTGTGTGGAATTTTAAGGTTGGTTGTGAAGAAGACAAAGATAAACTGTTTCTTTTGTTCCCCACCAAATCCCCATGTTCTCACATGTCTCTTGCCATGTTTTATTTAATCTTTAATATATTTTAATTAAAAAAACACACACACACAAACAGTACAACATTTGGTCTGTGGGTTTGAAATGGTTTGATATGGTCCTCTCTACTGAAATGTTTGTCACCCTCCTCACCCTAGGCTGTTTGCAGTTCAGGCTTTCAGACTGAAAACCAAAACTCCAAAGTACAATAAATAAGTAAAACTAGTTGCTGCCTTACTTCAGTCAAGCTAGCCTGACAGAGGAGGAGGAGGAGAGTAAAAAAGGGGAAAAAAGGCCGAGGAGGGGAACAATCTTGATCCTGTACAGGAGGCTGGAAGGGCAGCTAGAAAGGCGTGACAGAAGGGAAAAAGATATCCTTGTGCTGAGGCCCTGGGTGGGGGACCTACCCTGGGCAGAGGCGGCAAGGACCATACTAACCCTCGGACACTCGATTTCTAGATGTCTCTGGTTAGAGGAAGGAAAGGATTAAGCAGCTCAGCTTTGGTCCCCAGCCACAGTAGGGAACCTGGAATAATTAGAAGGAAGAGGGTCTAGCTTTGGCAGAATGAGACCCAAAAAGGGAATAGTAAGGCACAGACTCTGTCTCTGGAGCCCCTGATCTGAAACTATGGTAAGGAATGTGAGTCGTTCCCCTCACTCTGAACCCAAGCCTACGGGGAGGGGAGGGGAAGGTTTGTCCCAGAAATGAATGACAGGACAGGCAGCTTAGGGAGGGGGGAGGAAACCTCCCCCTGTAACAGAGGCTATGACCAATCCCCCTCACACAAGATGGACAGGAGTTTGGTTTAAAGGCAACTGGGTGACCAGGAAGAAGGGCAGTTGGAAGGAGGGGTGAAGGGAAAGGGAGAAAACTTACCCTTTCCTACCCCCAGATTTTGGTGACCTCTGACCCCCCCCAAAGGGATATCTTCCCCTTGTGGTAGGAAGGGGTGGTTTCTTGGCTTTATGAAATAAGGCTGAGGGGCAGTAGGGAGCCAGGCTCAGTCATTTTTTCTGTGGTTATTGTTAAGAATAGGATGGCCGTTGGCTAGATGATGGCTCTTCATTCCCCCACCAGTGAAAGCCTCCTCGCCCTCAGAACTCTCCGTCTCTTCCCGATCACTGCGTTCATCTTCTACCAGCTAAGAAAAAGGAAAGGAGGCCAGAGGTCAGAAGCTGCCTAGAAACTCCTTCCCTCTCCCCCTTAGGGTGCTAATTTTTAAGCTGGGGAGCACATCTGATGTGAAGGTGAGCTAAGCTCTGGTACTCGGGGATAGGAAGGTCTTAATTCCTTTTGCTATGAATTGTGGATCACAAAGAAAATGTACTGGGGTAGGGAGGAACCAAGTCCCAGCAAAAGAGATACAAAGTGGAAGGAATCCTCACCTTTCCAGTTACAAACTTGTGGGCCATTCGGAGAATGAGGTAGGCCCAGAAGATGTGCAGGACTTGCAGCACGCCCATCATGGAGTTGAAGAAGTAATAACCAAAAAAGGCAGGATACAGCTGCAGAGGGTACACCACTGTGCAGTGCAGGATCCTGAGCGACAGAGAGGCAAACACTGGGGAGATGGGGGCGGGATGGAGGCTGGGGAAGATGAGGTCACAGTCTTGGGGCTCGGGGGACAGCAGGAGAGCAAGAAGCGGGTGGGGAGAGGGGCTTGAGAGAACAAGAAAATCAGAGAGAGCCCCATCTCCTAAGCAGGCAGCACCCCCGAGCTCCCACTCACCAGAAGGGTAAGATGACAAGTCGAGTGATGATGAAGACAATGGCGAAGACGATGAAGATATTGTTGCACGTGTTTTTCCATCCAGCGTAGTTAAACATCTTGGCTGACTGCACAAACACCCCCAGCCCCCTGTAACCATCATCAAGGGCCCCATCTCCCCCTCCAACATACATATATCTACATATGTATGTATGTACATAATTAGGACATTGGTATTGACCCCTTACCCCAACTCAATGTCCCTAAAGGAGGCAAAAGGGGCAGAGGAGGTTTAAGATGCAGGGAGAAGTTATGTGGCCTGGGGTCTTGGGTTAACGGAGCTCAGGGGAATCCTGACCTCTAGCAGGTAGTCAGAGGAGTCATGGAGAGCCATGATGAGTGTCCCTGCCCGGATGTAGTTGGCAAACCAGGAGAAGCTGATGAGGATAATGGTGGCCACATGGTGGATCACCTGCTCTTTGAAATCCTAGGGAGGAGATTAGAGGTCATGGGATGAGGACTTTTCTTTGTTTCCCAATCCTCACACTTCCTTCTTTTCCTTTTTCCAAAGATCTTCCAAACCTTCCCCCTCAGAGTAATAAGGTCCTTGCCAACCCCCTAAAGCAGGGATTCCTAAAATAGGGCCAATGAACCTCCAAGGCGGGGATCTGTAGATTTTGGGGTTCCATGAATTATGTGGGGAAAAAACTACATCTCTATATCAATAGAATTGGTTTCCTTTGTATTTCTATCTCATTTTATTAATTTAAAAACATTTGGAGAAGGGGTTCATAGATTTCAACAGACTGCCAAAGGGGTCCATGACACTGAAAAGGTTAACCCTAAAATAAAAGGAAAAGTCTAAGATAATCTCACACCCTTATTTCCTTTCAGACTCAGCTCAACCGTACATAACGTCTAGCAGTAAACGGGAGTACCTAGTACCTAGAGAATTCCCCAAACCATCCCTCTGCCAGCCACTTGGCCCACCTTTCGTTTAACATCAGAAGCAATACTGAAGAGTAGGGACCAGTAGAAGGAGAGTTCGATCATGTAATACCAGTACTGGGAAGGGATGATAGACTAGGAGAGAGGAAGGAAAACTGAGCCCCACCAAAACATGGATATTCCCCCGAAGTCCCACTCCACCCACCCACCCCATTTCACATCACACTAACTGCTTCTAGACTAATACGATTTACCCCAACAAGCAGCCTTCCCAAGCCTTCAAATTTCTCTTAGCTCAGTTCCTCCCCAGAATGTTACAGATTCCCTTCATCTCAAGTGTCTGTCCCAATCCCACCCCACCACAAATCTCTCTTTGCCTCTAACTCCAGATGAGGATCTATAGCCCCCACCCACTTCTCATACCTGAATAGGATAACCTTTCCATACTTCCTTCATGTCATAGAACCAAGGTTTCTGAGAAAAGAGTGGCAAATCAGGGGAGTTGAAATGCTGAAGATGGGACCAAGTCTTAGGACTCCATCTCCACTATGCCAAACCTCCCAACTCCTCCCTCCTACCCTCACTCACATCCACAATGACAGCCATGCCAGCAATGAAAGCAATAAGATAAAAGGTGAATCTCCAACTGGAAGAAGAAACAAAGGTGACTCAGTGGGACAGGAATAGGGAGCACAGATCCAGAGCCTGGACTCCCTACCTACACTCATGTCTCTTTACCTCCATTATCAAGACATAGAGAACATCACACCACTCCATTTCATCCTTCCCCACACTCGGCTTCTCCCTATCCCTTTCAACTCCCGCTCCCCCACCCTTGGCTCTCTCATCACCTGGCCTCCCGGAATTTCTTGAGCAGACTTGGCCGGTCCTGATTTCGGCGTCTACGGAACCATCGCTCTACCTGACGACTTGAGAATCCACTTTGCCGAGACAAGAGCTCCACTTCTGCCTGAAAGGGTTGGGGAGAGACGGAAAACTTAGCAGTGCCTACTCGAATAGACAATCCAATTGAATGCTGACCTCCCTCAGAACCTTCAACAATCTCTCTGGCACTAACTCCCTAATTACATTCCCCAATCCCAAACCCCAACCCTCTTTTGCATTCCTTTTTCTGCATCAACCCCTTTAGCAGTCAAGGCACCAGACTCCAGCCATGACCTTGTTCCCAAAATTGACCCCTGTATTCTCTAGTATTGACATACCCAAGGATCATCATTTTAGAGCTGGAAAGAATGGAAAAGGTCCATGTCACAGTCCAACTCTCTCATTTTATGAAATAGGTCAAAGGGGGTTAAATGCTTGACCAAAAGTCACTCAAGAAGCAAAGAGCAGAGCCAGTAAGTGAGCCAAGGTCTTTCAGCTGCAATGCCAGGACTCTCCATTTTCCTGCTGCCTCATCAATTTCTGCCCTCTAGCGCTCACCTCAGATGCATCCTTCCTCTTGTTGCCCCGCTAACATTTGGCCTCTAGTGCATGAGGTGCACTTGAGGAGATGAGGAATGGGGGCTTACCTGTTTGGGGTGTTTGCCACTGGTACAATAGAAATTCTCCAAAGTTGGGTTGGGGGATGCGCGAAGCCGAGTTTTCTCCTTCACATTTAGGAGGGCAGCCAACGGTGTTGCCACATAACTGGGAAAGGCATCTGGTTAAGGAGAGGGCCTGTCCCTTTCAAGGACCCCTTATGACATCTGAAGTTAGGGGAGTGGGGAAGAACTGGGAGCTTAGAGCCTTCTCTATGGCCTCAGTTTCCCCAGCTCAGTGCTGGAGAGAGGTTCCCTGGCACCCCCTCTGGCCTCCTTTGTTTCCCACAGCTCTGGACAAAGCAGCTTGTGTCCACCAGTGGCCTGGGGGAGGGGAGGAAACAAATGGCTATTGAAAGAATGGCCTGGGGGAGCTAAACCCTCAGGCAGACAATGCTGCCTTCATGGGGAGGGCAAAGTGGGGACACAGTAGGCCAGAAACAGAGGAACCAGAACACCAAGGCCTAACCACCAATGATCACTAGGCTGAGAGACCATCAAAGAGGGCAGGTGGGAAAGACCAGGAAGGGCAGAAGGGCAATATGCTCACATCTCAAAGAAGTATCTGACAATGAGGAAGAGCAGGGCAAGGGGTAGGGTGATATAAAGGTCAGAAGCTTTAGCGTAGATGCGCCCATCACGGTCCTCCAGGTCAGCCCAGGTCAGGTTCACAGGTAGCCACAATCTCTCCCACCAGAAGTAATCATATAAAGTCTGCAGCATCCTAGGGAACCCAAGAGGGCAGGAAAGAAGGAGTCAGGAAATGGAGCTGCCAGGGATGGGGGGCAGGAATGTTAGTGATTTTAGCACTCTAAGGGAACCAGGACAAGGCTTATTGAATGAATGTTTGGGTTGGAAGGGCAGAGATCACTCCTCACTTCCCCATAA